AATTGTCTCTTTTGAGAGCTCATCAGGGCTGTGGTGTGATGGATAGACTCCAGCCAGCTGTGTACTGGTAATATTCCAGAAAACAGCATTACCTTTTTTTTGATCAAGTGCTTAAGTCTTTGCCTTCCAGCTCAGGATCTCAAAGCACTTTATGAACAGCGAGGAGTTAAAAGTTGCCCTTTATCAGCAGAGAAAATAAGACACAGGGAGGTCAAATGACTTGCTTGCCCTCGAGATCATTTGCAGCCCAGAAGACCTGGATTTTAGTGCTTTTAATTTTTTTTSCAGGTGGGCATCCTGAAGTTTGGAGATTGCCCTGTATATTTTCTTTGYCTTTCTCCTCTTTTTTCTTAGACTWTTGGGGTTTAACTGACTTTTAACAGGGCTGTGTCTGTCTTTTTCTCTGTGTTTTAGGTCTGACGTGTAATCCCGCATCCATCACCATCCAGAAAATGTCTTATGGATCCATTGATGGGAGTGGATTTGGGAGCAGGAACCCATTTGGAGGCCCTTCGAGACAAGGCTATCAGCCTCTGGGTGAAGTATTGATCCCTTGCTGTAATTTATTCCCCCTGAMTCCCTGAGAACTGAAGTTTGACTCGCTCAGGTTCAGTGTGGCCGCTGTACAAATATCACACCCTCACCAGGGGTCATTTCTGACACAGATTTTCAAAGGTGAAAACCAAACTTGTTGAGTTTGATTTGTGTTATTGAGGCCCTGCATCTCACTGTGCTCASGATTTGAGGCTGCAGCATGGGAGAGCAGCACTAATGAGGATTTTKGAGGAATTTTGGGGGTCCAGAAGGAGAAATGCAGAATATTCTCTAAACTGGYTGGTGTCTTTTCTCATCTCCCCATCACCTCAACAAGAAGTTTGTCTCAGTGGTTGTTTTAGGGCTGGCTGATGGTGGGAGTAGATGGGAAGATGCACAAAATGCTGTGCTTTCCCAGCGAACAACTTTGCTGTGGAAGCTGCTTGAATCTGGGAAATGTGCTTGGATGGGGCACGCACGGGATCAAAAACTCACTCAGGAAATGCTGAAACCACAAACAGTGACTTGCAAATGGCTGTGGATTCTTTCTTTGTGTCATTTTTTTTAGGCAGAGGCCAGACCAGCTGTAAGGCTGATCTGGGCTTATCTAGTCTGGCTTTGAGCGAGTCTTTTAATGTGGAATTTAGCCTTCATTTTCTTCCTGGGTCTGGCTTCCACTGGAAGGTGAGGCTCTGGTGTGTTCCAACCTTGGCAGAAACCTCGGGAAAGGGGCTCCTGTAACATGGCAAAAGGCTCTGTTTTCATTTTTTTTTTCACCAGGGAAGAACATCACCTATTTCTCCACTTGCCTTTGATTTCAACTGGGCCATTCATTGACACAGCCTGGTTTGGTGTTCATGTTTTGAGAATTGCAAACATTCTTTGGGAAGTGATGCTTTATTTTGCAAATATCTGTTCTCCCTGGATGGAAATATTTAAAAAAAAAAACAAACCCATACAGGTTTCTCTTGGGTTTCTGTTTTCTTGTAAATTTGGGGTTTAATTTTGATTTTTTTTTTTCTTTGAACAGGAAGAAGGTATTGAAGTAAGTACGAGTTCTCTGTGCAGTTGTAAAAAACGTATTTTTAGGCTATTCTACAAGGCAAAATTAAAGCCATAAAGGCAAGGAAGAATAGGATACTTGGGCACAATCAACCATAAAAAAAGAGAATTGAAGTGTGGACTAGACCAATGATGACTTTCAGTGCATTGTAGCTTAGGTYAAAAAAAAGAGTATTTATTGTGCTGTATGAAAAAAAGGCTGTTTAAAATGCAAATTCACAGAATAACTCAAGACACTTGAAATTTCTTGATATTTGAAGGATCCCTCATTATGCCCAGCTTGCCCATGGCTTGGCAGTTGGAGCTGTGATGCTGAAGCCACACTTAGTGGATGGCAGAGAGGAGCTGGTGTGGAAAAATCAGCTTTTTTTGGAATAGCCACTGAGTGTTGGCTGCCCAGCCAGAGCCTGTTGATGCTCTGGATTATGGCTGGGAGTTGAGTGCTGGTTTTTCTTCCAGCCTTGTACACATCCTATCCGGTGACATCGCCATGGACACTTCTCCAGGGTCTTCCAGGGTGGATTTTCCCAGCCTGCCTAAATTGTTTGGTCCCTTAACTAAACATCCTTGTGAAAAAAGTTTTCAAGGAGAGGGACTTATTTATATTGGGGATGTTTCCTTTCTGTGAGTCTCAGTCAGAAGTGGGTTYYTTCAGCCTTTAGAAAAGRAGGTTTAGGGGAGATCTTMTCACTCTGTCCCAGTGTTTAAAGGGTGGTGACAAATGAGGTGAAGTCTCCCTTTTCACATGGAAAAGAGAAGGGGTAATGGGTRCAAGTCACTCCTGGGAWGATTCAGTTAYCAGAGACTCAGACAAGTGGAAAATTTTTTGCAATTAGAACAATCAGCTTTTAGAGTAATCTCCTCAGGGAAGTGGTGGATTCCTGAATGTTGGACAGTTTTAAAGTTCAGTTGGATAGGGTGCTGGGCCATCTTGTCTGGGCTGTGYTTTTGCCAAGAAAGTTGGGATCAGATAATCCTCGAGGTTCCCTTCCAACTCCACATCCTGTGATTCTGTTCTGTCCTCATCTGAGCCTGCATCCCTTCATCACGGAAGACTGACCCATGAGATGCCTTTTGTCATAGCATCCCCAAATATTGCCATTAATTAAGTGTCAGGAGAGGGTAATGCTGCACAAATTATCTGCCTCCTGCTCCTGGACGATGGATGACTGGTTTGCTAAGAAAAGCTGCCTTTTKCATTAGATCATGGAACAAAGGAGCGTGGCCTTCCCGTCAGCGTCTGTGTGTCTGCTCTCAGAAGGGGCAGACCTTGATGGGAATGTTCTGTGTGTGCTTTAAACCTGTCCCTCTCCTTATAAATAATAAATAAATAAATAAAACCAGGTGTCCCTGCAGGTAGTTAATGGCCAGCAGTGGCAATATTCAGATATCCAACAGAAAACCCTCAGATACTGCAGCAATAAAAGTGATGGATCTGCTTCCTCTGTAATATAGAGAGCAAAGAAAAAGGGGCTTAGGGTTTGTTTGGTTTTGTTTCCTGAAGGGTGATATTACCACGGGGATTTCCTCTGTCCTCGGGCATCTGTTTGTCTTGGCTCTGTTTCTTCTATGCTCGATCCAAATAAGCTGCCAGGATGGAAAAGTTTAATTATTTGAAGGTGATCCCCTTGGCTCTGGGCTGATGTGATGATGGATGGACTCACAGCCCATCCTCAGGCCACCTGGATGTTAACCTTGCTGACTAGCCTAATTAGAGACAGCTACAGACTTCACCTGCAGCAATTTTGGGAGGATTCCCAAGACAATGGTTTTGGCAATTTGGTTTGCCTTGGACACCTTGGTGTCAGAAAGCTGTAGCTCAAACTGTGGTTTTGATRGTGGATATCCAGGATTTCTCAGGGAAAACAAAAACAAGTGTTTGTTGTTCGGTTTTTAATTTTCTTTTTAAATATTGGCAGGTTTTAGGAGGAGAAAGAGAGAAGCTCAGCAGAGCTCAGATGTTCTGTAGCCTTACCCAAGGAGCACCCTGAGGTGTGTCCCAAACAGGATCACCAGGATTACCTGGGCTAGAGCATTTGGGGTTTGGTTGCCCCACAGCCACTGAAGGACAGCCAGGAGTGGCAAGGGGAGGCATAAACCGTGTCCCTGCTTTGCAATTGGGATTTACAACCTCTTCCAACAACAGCTTTTCATATCCTCATTCTGATCCCCAAAATCAGTGTACAAATCCCATGTTCCCCTGTGTCCTTGTAGGAGCTTCTCTGGACATCACGTGGACATTGGTGTTGCATGGACAAATTGRAAAGCAGGTAGCAGAAAATTATTATTTCTGGCTCTTTTTAAGTTTAGGCCTGAGAAATTGGAAAGATTGACTTCAAAATGTTATTTTTTAAGTAATGTGACATGTGTAAGGTAAACAGAGACCAAACACTGAGCAGCAGGAGGAATTAAACCTTGGAYTCTCACTATTTTGATGTGTGCAAGCTGCACTCTCTCCTGTGTTCAATCTGTCTTCCCAAAACCGTCTTTTTGTGGGGAAAATGAACAAAACCTGCTTTACAACGGGAGGCATATAGGTCAGAGAATTTAAATGGTTTGGATTAAAATGCCACAAGGCAGGAAATTTTTAACACTGMTTTTATTAACCTTACTGTAACCTGGACGTTAAATGCCAGCTCTGAAAAGGTGAGGTTAATTTCATATTCCAGCAGTGCATTGCTTCCAGGTGAGCTCAAGGGATTGCTGGGTCAGTCCTTCATTTTTCTGTGACTTCATTTAGACCATTTTCCCCTCAGTTTCTCCTGGAATTTTTGTGTGGGACAGGGGCCAGGGTTGTACTCAAGATATGTCACACGTGCCTCTTTCTCCTGGTTGGATAAGGYTGGTTATCTTGTCACTGAACAAAATGAGATTGTTCCCTGCGAGTTGTCCTTGGCACTGTTCTCTGGGTATAAATCACCGAATTATCATTTCAATGCTTAGCAATTGTTAAATGATTTTTTCTAGCTGG